AGAAAAGGGGAAATGCTGTGGAATGTCTTTCTGTATGCTGTGAATATGTGTTGCTCTCATTAGTTGATAAATAAAACAGCTTTGGCCTATGGCAAGGCAGGATAGAGCCAGGTGGGAAATCCAAGCAAAGATACAGGAGAAGAAGGGCAGAGTCTGGGATCCACCAGCCAGACACCAAGGAAGCAAGACGTGTAGAAAATTAGGTAACATCACAGACACATGGCAATACATAGATAAATAGAAATGGTTCATTAAAATATAAGAGCTAGCTAGTAATAAGTCTGAGCCATCAGTCAAGCATTTATAATTAATATTAAGCCTCTGAATGGCTATTCAGGAACTGGTGGGTGGGAAAGAAACCCCCGTTTACACAAAACCAAACCAAATCAAAAACAAAATAAGACAAAACACCAGCAACAACAGTTAATGAATTCTTGGAATAGAAAGATGGCTCAATGGTTAAGAGTACTTGTTGCTCTTACAGAGGACACAGGGTCGGTTTCCAGACCCACATGGCAGCTCACAATCATCTGAAACTCCAGTTCCAGGGGATCTAAAGCTCTCTACTGCCTTCCATCAGGCACCAAGTACATATGTGATACACATACACACATGCAGACAAAACACTTATCTTTTTACTTTTTGGAGAGAGGGTATCACTATATAGTCTGGCTGGCTTCAAATGCACAGAGATACTCCTGTCTCTGTCTCCTGAGTACTGGGGTTAAATTCATACACCACCATGCTTGGCCTAAAGTTAAATAATAATTTCTTCTAAAGTGAAATAAGAAATGGACCCCATTAGAGAAACATAATTTGATTTGTCAGCAGTGTGGAAGGCCATTTTAGTGTATGAGATCATGACATTAACTAGCCATGGTAGTATGCCTATAATCCCAGCACTCAAGGGGCTTAGGAAAGAAGATCATGAGTTTGAGACAAGCCTAAATTGCATAGTGAGATCCTTTATCAAGAGAGAAAAATAGAGGGACAGAGAGATGGCTCAGTAGTTTAGACCATTGGCTGTTCTTCCAGAGGACTCAGGTTTGATTTCCAGCATCCACATGATGGCTCAAATCATGTGATAATCTGGTTCCAGGAGATCCAAACCTTCTTCTGGCCTCTAAGGGCATCAGGTATATTTGGGGCATAGACATATGGGAAGGCAAAATACCTAAGATAGCTATATTGGTGCCCACTTGTAATGTCCCTACCCAGTAGCCTGAGGCAAGAGAATAGCAAGTTCAGGGACAGCCTGGGCTTCATGGCAAGACTGGTGTGTGTGTGTGTGTGTGTGTGTGTGTGTGTGTGTGTCCGTCCATGTGTACACACAGACGTGGGGGACAGAGGTTGATGTCAGGTGTTTTTCTCAATTTCTTGCCATTTTATTTTTGAGACGGGGTTTTCCACTGGATCTGGAGACTGGGCGGCCAACAAGCCTTGGGGATCTGCCTGTGTCACCTCTCCAGTACTGGGGTTACAAGGCACATATTTTCACATTCTACACGGCTTGGGTGCTGCAGTTCTGAACTCGGGTCTTCACATTCTCATGTCAGGTACTTTCCTGACTACGTCATCTTCCAAGATCTTGCTTTAAAATAAAATGAAAATAACCCAGATGAGTCATTTCTCCAAAAAACATACAGCTGCTCCAGTGGAGGCAGAAATGATAGTATTTATCCGGATGTGGGGGTTTTTCAATGCAAGACTGTTTTCGTAAGAGAGACCAAGGAAGTGGTATTATCCTGATGGGTCATGGGATACAGTCAAGTAAAGGCAGGGATTGAAGCTTACAGAATTAAGAAAGCAAAACATTGGCCATGCAGGTACTTGAGCAAAGTCAACTGGGAGAAAGAAGAACTTCAAGTTGAAATGCCAGGTGCAGCACAATTTCTGGTAATGACAGGGTGGCAAAGACAGAGATTAAAGCTTTAGAGATGAGAAGTCAAGGAACCTGGGCATCCGCAGCACTGACATCATCTAACAAGATGACAGAGTTAGGAAGGAAAAGTTCTGAGTCAGTGACTAGGGTCTTAAACTGGGAGAGGCAAGGATGGTCTAGCCAGATGGCAGCCATTATCACGGGCAGAAATAGGATAACAGGAAGCAGCAAGAGGAACAAGGAGGATCTCAACCTCACTTCCATACTGTAAGCATTGGGGAGAGAAAAGTGGCTTCTATAAGCAGGCCAAGCTGGCCTCAAACCTGTGTGTGGTGGAGTATGACCTTGAACTCTTGAACTATTGCTTCCACCTCCTAAGTGCTGGAATTACAGGAATGTTCCTTCAAGTCTGGCAAAGTAGCTTGTCTTAGAGAGGCTTGCCAGAAAGCACTGTGCCCAGAGGTCAACCTGACTTCAATTTAGCAATGGGAGGCAATGGAGACTGTAAGACACTGAAGACAGGAATTTGCTTATCACAGACCTGAGAGCCTGGTGAAGGAAGGAAGAGATAGGTGAGGATAAGACCTTAAAGACTGAACTCCTGAGTGCCCAGGGTTTAAATTGAGCTGCAAAGTACAAAAGTATTCAATTCTGACATCCTTGGGGTGAGCGTGAGCAATCACTTATTTCTGAGTTTCAAGGGTCTTGCTTCAGGGCGTCATGGCTTGGTACTCTAGATTTCTTCCTAGGGCTTCATATGTTGCAACAGCTTGAATCATAAAGGTTTGGAATAAACATGGAGGCACAGGGAACAGGGATCAAGGACACATGGGAATGGGAAGCAGCTTTGAAGATACCACAGGCTAAAATTTGTGGTGAAACTCCTTGTTCTTTTCCAGTGAGTGGTTCTACCTTCTTATGTGGGAGTTGAAAAGAAAGGCAGAACTGACTCAAAGCTAATGATTTATAAAGATGGCGTAGGACCTAGAATCAGCTCAAACAGATCACGAGCCCCACTTACCTTCAGTATTCTAAAACCTCGCCCCAGACTGCTCTGCTCTGTGTGACTAGACTTGGGCCCTCTGATCTACCACTTGTTCTGTTGGCTCCTGGCCTTGTCTGAGAATTTTCCAATTAAACTTACCATAACACTTAATAACAATTTCACGCCAATCCTTTTCCACTAGGACAAATGTATCCTGAGTGCTTTGGCTAACAGCCCTTCTGGTTATGACTAACCTAAACTCAGCCAGAAATTTTCTATGATTGAAAGATGATTCATAAGCTATCTGTCTAGAAATAGAAACAAGGTCAAGATTTGGGGATATTCTTGTGATCTAGTGGGCCGCAGATGAGAAAGCAGGGGCTGGAGAGACGGCTCGGTTATTATGAGCACTTGCTACTCTTCTAGAGGGCCCCAGTTCATTTCCAGAGCCTATGTTCTGCAACCCACAGCTTCCTATAACCCCAGTTCTAGGGACTCCAGTGCCTCTGGCCTCTGTGGGCACACATGCACACATACCCATGCCCTGACAAATAACATAATTTAAAATAAAAAGGAAGATAAAGTTAAACACAAATAGTTAAGGTAGATGGGCATCATTAAATAAACATGCTGTGGTCAAAAGAGAAACAGCCGTTCTGTGGCGTTCGAGGGCGAAGGCGGTACAAACTGATGAGAAATGAGAGAAGCACCTCCAGGACAGGTATCGGTGGGATGTCCTGCGGAGGAGATAGGGAAAGCACCTGAATCCTGATAGGAAGTTTCTGCTAGGGTTCTTTGGGAGGCAAAGTAGCAGCAAAAATGTGCGTGTGAATCCTCACACAGAACTTCTGCTTAAGAACCGGGTGTGGTGGTATGCACCTTTAATCCCAGCACGTGGGGAGGGGGAGTAGGGGGGGTGCGGGGGCAGGCGTATCTTTGAGTATGAGGTCAATCTGGTCTGTTCCCAGATAGCCAGGGCTACATAGAGAAACCCTGACTAGAAAAACAAAACAAAACAACCACTTCAAAAATGCAAAAAGAGACGCTGGATGCTGGAGAGTTGGCTCAACAGTCAAGAGCACTTGCTGTTTGCAAAGGACCCAGGTACAATTCCCAGCACCCGTATGGATGGAGGTTCACCACTAACTCAGGCACCAGGCACGCATGTGGCACACTGACATATATGACATATGGCAAGACACTCATACACATAAAATATATTTTTAAAAATGCAGAAAGAACTGTCTTTCTGGGAGTTGCCTTGGAGAACCTAGGTCAGAGGCTCTTTCCTAAAAAAACAAAACAAAACACAAAAGCCAACTCACATGTCTCCTATTTCCTACCACGAAGGGCAATCTGGGTCAGCAGTGAGAGATGGCCCCTCAAAGCCTGCCAGGAAGATCCCCTTCTTTGCCCTATAAAGGGACTTGAGCCTGTGGAAAAATACAAGATCTCCACTGATCACGAAACAAGTCACTAATGAATCTCTAGGGACTTTTCCCCCAGGCACCTTTCAACCTAATTGAAAGACTGTCATATATTGGGGGTGGGGAGTGTCATGCTTAGATTCTAAAAATAAGGTCATTTTAATTGGTGACTTACAGACAGATGGGACAGTGTCACTACGTTAGAGTTCTGCGAAATCAAAGCAACTGCCCATCTGTATGATGTCGGAGATTTTTATCCAGAAAAACGGGATGGGGTCTTCTCATTACTAAAGCACAAACGTACCGCCAAATGCTAAATTCCTCAAAGCCTTTCCTTCCGCTCTCAGCTGCGTTCGCAGAAACGCTTCAAGGAACACGTATGACACAGCATGTGCCGAAAGCAGGCAGGCCCCTTGCTGCTAGAAGATAACAGCGATACGGTGGCCCTGACGTCAGTGCCAGGTTTATCTCTTCCAGCCACCTGTGGGGGAAGGGCAGCACGGAGTGTCAGTACACTATTGCTACTAAACATTAATCAGCAACACAAGAGGAACGGGCGGGCACATGCTAATGTGTCATTCTAGTGATTGCATCTGACCTTGCTATCATCTTCTGCAGAAATAATGGAGACTTTCCTGGCGGGCAGTTTGTCGTAATCTATATCAAGAACAGAAAACAATAATTCTTTAATGATTTACTATAAGGCTATAAATTAACATGCCAAGATAGATGCACACACAAGTATGTTCCTTGAGGGCTGGAAATGTGGCTCCCTGGCAGAGCATCTGCCTAGCATGTTCAATGCCCCGAGTTTGATCCCCAGCACTACCAGGAGAAAAGTTCATATTCCTAATTAAGAACAGTGTAAAGGTGCTGGAGAAATGGCTCAGCAGTTAACATTTGTTGCTCTTGGAGAGGACCCCCGTGTCCAGTTTCCAGCACCCATATGGTAACCCATAACCATCCATAAATCCAATTCCAGGAATTCAGCACTCTAGCCTGACTTCCACGGGCACCAGGCATGCATGCAGTCCACGTAACATTTACAAAACAAAACACTTACACAGAAAATAAATTATCTAAAGATTTTTTCAAAAGTATGCAAATATTGAATAATTTGTTATAATTTCTAATAATTTAGGTTGAAAATGGTTTATTAACATATCACATGACATGACCCTATTAAAATAGGTTTTTTTTTTTTTTTTTGGTTTTCCGAGACAGGGTTTCTCTGCAGCTTTTGGAGTCTGTCCTTGAACTAGCTCTTGTAGACCAAGCTGACCTCGAACTCGAAGGGATCCACCTGCCTTTGCCTCCCGAGTGCGGCAATTAAAGGCATGCACCACCATCGCCCAGCAAAATACGCTTTTTATATTGGCATTTTGACTCCCATTTAAGAAAAGCACAGCATTTAAAACTATACACAGTATTGTACTCAGTTCCCCACCCCGCCCTTAACTATTGTTTGTGTATGGGCATGCATGCCAGTCAGCTGGAGGATAACTTTACAGGCTCAATTCTCCTTTTCCACTTTTATGTGGGTTCTGGGGGTTGAACCCAGTTCACCAGTTTGTGTGGCAAGTGCCTTTACCCAATGAGTCATCTCACTGGACCCTTTAAAGTCTTTTTAAAAATTATTTTTATTTGTGTATTGTGTAAGGCTGCACGAGTTTATGTGCAGTTGTTTATGGAGGTCAGAGAGCATCAAACTCCCCCGGAACCTAAGTTACTTCAGGTGGTTATGACCCACCCTATGTGAGTGCTGGGGACTGAATCTAGGTTCTCAGGAGCACAGTGAGAGCTCTTAACCATTGGACCATCTCTCCAACACCCTTTACATTTAAAAAAAAACAATGTGTGTGTGCAGGCACACACGTGTGAATTATCTTAATTCAGAAATGCATACATTTAACATATTTAAATCCTCAGAAAGACCAGAAAAGGACTCATCAGTTTACATGGAAGACAGTTTATTTTGTTTTTTTTTGGGGGGGGGAGGGGTGGTTCAAGAGATCCACCTGCTTCTTCTGTGATTAAAGGCATACACCACCACCACCCGGCTTACTTTGGATTTTTAAGAGGGTTTTTTGTTTGTTTGTTTGAACGGGGTTTCTTGGTAACTTTGGCGCCTGTACTGGAACTAGCAGAGAATTGTTTTGAAGACTAAAGAGAATCAAGACTTTGTTACATTATTATTGTTATTATTATTGGTGGCACTCAGGATAGAACCCAGGATTTTAGCTTGCTAAACACACATCTTACCAGTGCTGTACCTTTAGCTACAAAGACCAGTATCTGACATACTGCATGTCCCAGAGACAGAGCTAGGGAATTTCACCAATAATCTAATCTACATAGCAATCATGGGAGATAGGCATCGCAGCCCCCACTTTATGTTGAGTGAGGCTCCTCTATTTAAATGATTTGCCAGGTGCCCTGGATTCCAGCCCAGACGACGTCCAGGTTTCCTGCTGTACCACATACCTCACCTGCTGCAGCTCCTGTGGGGCCCTTAGAGGTTATAAGAAGGTCACTGACAAGAAGGGCACGTTACAGTGTGTTCACGAGCAAAGCCTTACTTTGCTCTCTAAATTTCACTTCTCCTTCCCAAAGTAGCAAAGCTGCCTCCTCCTTCCCAAGGCTAAGAGACCGCCGTCTTCATTGCTAAGGCTCAAGGGTCCATGCTGAAGCTGCTTTTACTCCTATGCCCAGTTCCTCGCCTGCGCCCTCCCTGAGCACATTCCTCGGGGCTGTGCTATAGGCTGCCTTGCTTACAGACTTGGCATTTTGTTAGGTTACGGGCGGGGACAGGGTAAACTGCACACTCTGACCCATTCCAGCCAGCGGGCTCCTTGGTCTCTCCCCTGGATACTAAAACAAACAAGCTCTGCACTCTGGCTTCCTCACTCAGACTGCTGGTGGTGGTGGGATCCCAGCTATGTGAACAATCAGAGGAATATCTGCCAGCATATTTATCTTTTATAACTTTAACAAAGTAGTGTCTCCAGGTATCCAGTAGCTCGGACATATTCTAAGCCTTAATGTCAAGTTTATTCTGGTCCAGGTTCCTAACCCCCAAATGGCTCTGTTCCAGGTAGATTTCTCGTGACAGTTACTAACGGCCTTCATGAAAGAGGAAGGTGTTGTTTTCTCAACAATTTCAAGACCCCTTCATGGTTTCCTGTTCCCTCCCTGAGGCACAGACAGGAAGTTACCTGGATAGGGCCACAGCAAGTCCGTGACACTCAGAATTAGAACATGCTGCCCAAGCTACCACTTTATTCTCCAGCACCATGGTTTACAATTTGAAAATGAATAACCTAAGGACTTTTTATCTAGGAATAGAATGAAGGGGACTCGAGGAATATGACACATGGGACAAACCTGGTTCATTTTTGATTCAGATTCTACCTTTTCCACTAAAAAACAAAAACAAACAAACAAACAAAAAACCCTGCATGTTGATAAAAGTTTAAGAAAAACTGGGTTAAACCAAGTTGAACAGATTAAGTAGCTATGGGACTAAGAACTTTCAATGTGCTTATGAACACTGGATATTTTATAATGAAGATGTTAAATATAATAAAACTAATATAAATAATAATTATCAGCTATAAAGCTAAGGGTTTCATAGGCACCAGGACTCCATCACAAGCTTCCGAAGAGTCACTCCAGGGTGAGTGAGCCACAGGACTCTGGAAAGGAAGACACCCAACTTTTGCCACTGGCCGGCCATCATCCACTGTTCAACACCGCAGTGATCCATCAGAACTGTTACCATGCACTCTTCTGGTACTTTTCCACTAGCTGGTCAAAGTTCCTAGAAGAGAAGCCGGCTCGAAAGAAATTCACTGGAGTAAGAAGGTATTTTAGCGCCAGGGCCCTGGACTGGGCAGCTGGATGAATGTCTTTGCTAATGTGAGACAGGGGAGAGCCTCTTTGGTTCCCTTGAGCCGGTGAGCCATTGCCTCCCCTAGGTATCGAGGGGGACCCTAAGCCAATTTCCTCCCTGGTTTCTGCAGAGATAAACTCATCTACAGGCTGTAATTGCACTGAAAATTCCAAAGTCGCCATCTTCTTGGAGTCACAAAGAAGGACCGGCTCTTCACACTCTTTCCTGGAGAAGTCTGGGAACAATTGCTTCCTGGGCTGCAGAGGGTGCGGGCAGAGCTTCTCAGGGTCCCCGGGCCAGGGAGAGAGGTTTTCTTTCTTGTGCTTCTTTGATTCTCTGTCAACTTTCACCTGATCAGCTTTTTCCTCAGGGGATTCAAACATAACACCCTGGATTCTTGGCCTCTTCAGTCTCCTTTCTAACTGCCAGAGCACGTTTGTTTTCCTAGGGGAGGAACACATGTATTGCTGCACTGAGTGTGGAATCAGGGGTACAGAGAGCCTGGGACTCAAGCTGTCCTCAAAGAACTCTCCGCAAGGCTGCTGAAGGACAATGGGCACCACCTGGCAGGGCCGCAGAGCCGCAACGAAAGCCCGCAGCTCGGAGTAAGACGAATGGTCCGAGTAAGGGACAGTGAAGATGCATGGATGAGGGCTCCGTATTGGCCGGCTTGTGGGAAGAATAGCAATGGTAGGGTGAGTCTGGTTCCACTGAAGCATGGCAGAATGGCAGATCTCCGTATGGTCTACAGCATGGATGCGCCCAGCTTTCTCCTCAACCGTGAACACATCCGCGAGGCCCAGCAGCTGCACCAACTCCAGGCGTCGAGGATTCAAAACCACCCAGGTCCGGAACTCGAGGGCGAGTTGCTCCAACAGTGATTCTTTCCCTAGGCTATAGAGCCCTAAACTCCGTTCAAGGGGTAGGGGGAAGAGAAGACAATGAAGGTATTAAAGACTCCTGATCTACCAGATGCTGAGCAAAAATATGCAAAATCTATGTGGTAATCCAGGAAGTGTATCAAGAAGGAAATGCATTTAGGATATATAGCAGATGCAGGCAGGGCGGTGGTGGCACATGCCCTTAATCCCAGCACTCGAGAGGCAGGTAGATCTCTAAGTTCAAAGTCAGCCTGGTCTACGAAGTGAGTACCAGGATAGCCAGAACTGCTACACAGAGAAACCTTGTCTCGAAAAACAAAAACAAATTAGCAAATGCGGGGATGGAACACACAAAATCCATTTATTCTTTCAGTTCAACAAGAGAAAGTGTCTACCAAGCACCAGGCACTGTGAGAACAGATGAAGAAGGTTTACATCCACCTGCAGACTCAGACACAATGTAAAGAAAGGCAACGACATGCACAGGCATACGGTGTTCTAAAGGCACGGAAGCTGATGAAATTAGGAAAAGCGTCTATAAAGTGACAGATGACAATTGAGCCAGGTCCATTTCTTTGGTAGGTGGTGGAAATTTTTAAGTATTTCTTTGGGGGAGAAACAGCACACTTCCATTTAATTAAAAACAAAACAAAACTCACTTGTGCTCACTTCGGCAGCACGTATACTAAAATTGGAAGGATGCAGAGAAGATTAGCACGGCCTCTGCACAAGGGTGACATATAAATTCTTGAAGCATTCTATTTTAAAAAACAACAAAAACCTTGCTTGTACGATCTAGAGCCGATTTGTTTATTTACCTATCTCTATTAAGCCATGAACTCACAGATCAACACGGGCTCCTTCCCTTGGGTTCCCATGCCGAGTGCTTCTCAGGGCAGCACAGGTGGGCACTGCAGTTGAACCCAGGGGGCTTCCTCTTTGGCCTTTACTTTTCTGACCATTTTCCTTCACCTGTTCTATATGCCCTTTCACTCCATACAGTGCTCCATATGCTCAAAGTCCTCTTGGCAAGAACCTTTTCTTTAACTTGCTTGTTTACAACAATGCCAAGAGCATTCTGGGTAATGCTAGTAATTGTAACACTTCCTTTTTGAACAGAACCCAGTCTCTTGATGTCAATAATATCCACCTGCCTGAACATTCACATATATGCAGCCAAAGGAATACCTCCATGTTTTCCAAAAGGCTTAGAGACTATACACCAGGTAAATTTCCTCTTCTCCTTTGTGCTTGACATTTTGGCAAATTAATGGAAGATGATCGTTCTGGCTCAAAGGAAACTGAGCTATATCTTAAAGGATAGATCAGAGTTAACCAGCAAGGAAAGGGTATAGTGAAAAATATTTGAAGAGGACCCACCTCAGCATTACTAAAGTGCAGATGATTAGTGAGCTATGGCTCTAGAAAGACAAGCCAAAGTCATTTATTTTTGGTTGTCCTAGCCTTTAATGGCTGAGCCATCTCTCCAACCCAACCAAGGACATTTATTAATGGGCCTTCCAAGTACTGAAAGAGAATAGCCAGGCGGTAGTGGTGCAGGCCTTAATCCCAGAACTTGGTAGGCAGAGGCTGGCGGATCTCTGAGTTCAAGGCCAGCCTGGTTGGTCTACAAGAGCTAGTTCCAGGCCAGGCTCTAAAAGCTAGAGAAACCCTGTCTCAAAAAACAAAGCGTTAGAACCTCATGCTATAGATGAAGTAGGGCTGTTGAGCACTGTGAAGTAGAAAAGTATGAATTCTAATCATCAGAATACGACGATCAAAACATGACAGAGCTATGAAATGCCTGAATGAGAAACTGGAAAATTGAAGTTCCATCTGGAAGGCCAAAGGTATGCACACAGAAGAATTTTAGCAGTGGCTATGGTAAGAGATATAGGACAGGCTATTTAACCACTCTCCTCAGACTTTACAGCCTCACAACTAAACCATGAACTCAGATTATGATCCAAATTTACCTCTGAGCAAGATTTTCTGCTCTCTGTACATCTTTTTCCTACTTTGTGTCCTTCCTTAATAGACAGGAAGCCCTTACCACCAGACACCATATTTTATTCAGATTTATATCCCCGCCTCCTACTGTATATATGGCACATTGCAGGACTAATTATATTTTTGCACAATTAATCAAGCTCTACCACAGGCATTCTCCTAACCAGCTGTATTTCTCTGAGAAAATTCTGCGTGTCATACTTCAAGAATGGTCAGAGAGTATTTCTTCATGAATAGTTAAGTAATCCTGAGGGTGGGGAATATTTCTCAATCAGTTTGGTAGTTACCGTGGAAGGCATATAATCTTTTTCATTATTTTTATTTAAGGCCATTTTGAAACTCCTTTCAGAGTTGGGGCATATGCTTTAAGATATATTCATTTTCCAGCCGGGCAGTGGTGGCACAAGCCTTTAATCCCAGCACTCAGGAGGCAAAGGGGCAGAGGCAGGTGGATCTCTGTGAGTTGAGGTCAGCCTGGTCAACAAGAGCTAGTTCCAGGACAGCCAGGGCATCACAGAGGAACCCTGTCTCGAAAAACCAAAAAAGAGATTTTCATTTTCCTTTTTTGAGGACCTATAATTTTAGGAGTAACCAAAGAAGTTATTTAGAACAAAAGCTAGGTTTTTTTTTTTAGTTGATTTTCATAAACTATTTCTCAAAAAGCAACTTTCAGAGTCCCCAAAATGGCCAGGCGGTGGTGGCACACGCCTTTAATCCCAACACTCGGGAGGCAGAGGCAGGCGGATCTCTGGGAGTTCGAGGCCAGCCTGGTCTGCAAGAGCTAGTTCCAGGACAGGCTCCAAAGCTACAGAGAAACCTTATCTTGAAAAAAAAAAAATCAAACCAAAAAAAAAAAAAAAAAGTTCCCAAAATATCGTGTACTACTAGGGAGTGACCAGAACAACCAAACAGCTGTTTTCTCAATGCTTCGATTTAAAGCACACCAACCTTCCTATTAACTCAGCAAATATTTACTGACTACCTCTTTCTCATTACGTAGGCGCTTAGGATATAGCCATAAGAAATAAAGAACCTTGTCATGGTAGAACCTACATTCTAGCAGAAAAAACAGCAACAGTTAAAAGGACCACACGTGGAAACTATGGAATATATGTTATGAGACAAGCGGAATACTGCTTCTCTTTCACTTGAATCATTCAACAGCTCCTCACTGAGTTTAGAATCAATTGAACATGGCTAATACCACTCCACCCCTCTTGCCTTTCGGCTTCCTTGTCTACTAAGTATCTGTTGCACTTCCTGCTGCCTCTCTGATACACAAAGCTTTCTCTTACCTTTTTGGGGTTTCTTTTCTTTTTTAAAAAAAAAAAAACCTATTTATTTACTTTATTCTATGTGTATGTATGTGAGCCTGAGTGTATGTCTGTCTGTGTACCATGTGTGCAGAAGCCTTTAGAAGGGAGATAAGAAATTAGATCCCCTGGAACTGGAGTTATAGGTTCCACATGAGCTGCCACATGGGTGCTGGGAATTGAACCTGGGTCCTCTGAAAGAGTAGCCTGTGCTCTTAATTACTGAGCTGTCCCTCCAGCCTTCTTAAGGGTTTCTTGAAGCACAATTAATAAAAACTCAGAGAAACTGGGGTTCAACCTGAAGATCCAAAACGCAAAACAGCCAGCCACTGGCTCTTATCTTGACCTCAGTCTGAAATGGTGATCCTACCTCCAGGAATGTCAGAATGAGACTGTGTCTGAGAGCTGTCTCTTCCCGTTTTATAATCCTCTCTAGGGCTGGGATTAAAGGCATGCACCACTGGTATTAAAAGTCCTCCACCACCCGGTTTCTATGGCAACTAGTGTGACTACTGGGATTAGAGGTGTGTGTTACCACTGCCTGGTCTGTAAGGCTGACCAGTGAGGCTGTTTTATTCAGCTCTTTAAGTAGCTTTACACTTAAAGTGCCACTACAATTTCTTTTCTTCCTTCCCCCCACCAAGACAGGGTTTCTCTGTGTAGTCCTGGATGTCCTGAAACTCACTCTGCAGACCAGTCGGCCTCAAACTCTTCTAGCCTCAAACTCAGAAATCTGCCTGTCTCTGCTTCTGAAGTACTAAGATTAAAGTGAGCTATAGTTCACACTGGTGTGTGTGTACGTTATCAGAGATACAAGCAACAGCATATTTAAATATGTACAGAACACACAGGGACGTGACAGGTACTATAAAAATGAGTAAGTTTGGGACTAAGGACGTAGTTCAGTCGACAGAATGCTTGCCTGGCAGGTACAAAACCCCTGGGTTCAATGCCAGCACTATACCAACTGGCTGTGTTAGCTTGTAATCTTAGCACTAAGAAGAAAAACATTTTAAAGAAGAGGGTTCAAAGGTAAAGTACTTGCCTAACACATGTGAGACCCTAGAGTTAATACAGAGCTGGGGGAAGGGTTGAGAATGATGGTGGGCAGGTTCAATTGTTGTTTGCTTTTTAGACAGGGTCTTTCTTACTGGAACTCACTATGTACACCAGGCTGCTTCTGCCTCCTAAGTGCTGGGATTAAAGGTCTAAGCCACCAAGCCAGCTGGGAGGTTCAATTTTAAATTAGATTATCATAGTAGGTTTTACCAGGAAGGTGAGGCCTGCACAAAGACTTGAAAACGAGAACCTTCAAGGAATTTAGGTTCACTAAGCATGAACGAGAGAAAAAGGGAACCACTCACCAATCTTTATGTTATGTTGCGGGAACTGCCGAATGAGCTGGACAATCTGCCGAGTAGCTTCTTGTCGGGTAGGAAGAACCAGGGCTGGATTGCAATTGGTGTTGTCGAGATATAAAGTATCAATTTGTTTCCCCAGACTCAGGACAGGCTCCTTCAGCATGGATGGTGTATATCGAAAATCACCTGGAAGCGCAACACAGGAGGTGGGAGAAAGGGGGCAAAGACCAAAAGATAGAAGGCAAGCCTCTCCCGCCTTTAGCAACAGGTGGGCAGTAGTTACTGGATTTTTAGGTTTGTTTGTTTATTTGTTTTTAAGATTTGCTTATTATGTAGATTGGGGTTTTGCCTATGCAAGAATGCCAAGCCAGGTGGTGGTGGCGGATGCCTTTAATCCCAGCACTCGGGAGGCAGAGATAGGTATAACTCTATGAGGTCAGCCTGGTCTACAAGCAAGAGAGCTAGTTCCAGGTCAGCTAGGGCTGTTACACAAAGAAACCAGAAACAAACAAACAAAAAAGTGAGATTCCAGTTGGGTGGTGGCGGCACTTATCTCTTTAATCCCAGCACCTGGGAGGCAGAGGCTGCCGGGTTGAGAGCCGTGTGTCACCACCACACTTAGCCTGCTCTTGTGTTTTTACTTGCATATTCTTAAAAAAAAAAAAAAAGATTTATTTATTATGTATACAACATTTGGTCTCTTTGTATACCTGCAGACCAGAAGAGGGCACCAGATCTCATTACAGATGGTTGTGAACCCACCATGTGGTTGCTGGGAATTGAACTCAGGACCTCTGGAAGAGCAGTCAGAACTCTTAACCTCTGAACCATCTCTCCAGCCTCTACCTGCATATTCTTAACAAGGTTTAGATGGTCAAAGAATAGGAAATCAGCTGGAAAGGGTCACTGTGCCTATATGGGATGAAGCCACAAGGCCAATCTTGGTGAAGGCAGCTTCAGAAATGACACAGCTGGAGAGAGGGACATCTTGGGGGGAGGCTCACCTGTGTAGAGGATTGTTCCAAAGTATCCTTCAAAGAGAAACATGACAGAACCAGGGCAGTGGTTGGCATCTAGAAGGGTTACAGTCATGGTTTCTCGCCCAATTTCGTCGAGAGGCAATACATGGCTCTCACCAACCTCCAGCGCTCGGATCCACTTCTTCGATACCTGAGGAAACAGTTGGCCACCCTATTAACCACAGACTCCTCTCCTGGATCAAGGAAAGCTGACTCCTGAAACACTCTCATGTAAGCTGTAATAGGGGTTCCCAAAAGACTATCCTTCTTCTTCTGGCTCCCCACCTTTGGAATCGATTTAAACTCAGAATCTGAAAACAATCTAGATAGATTCTCAAACTTTCTTCTATCATAATCCCAACAGGGGAAATTCAAGTCAGGCTGCCAGGGCTCATACCGGCAATGCCTACTGAATCAGACAAGAACAGGAGAGGTTAGATAATATAATTTTATTTAGCACAACAGATGAATTACTGGGGATGGGCAGTGTTGGGGATCTAACTTAGGGTCTTGCACATGTTTAACAAATGCTCTAGCAATGAGCTACATCCTCAGTCTGGTGGAATTTTTTTTTTTTTTTTTTTTNGAGACAGGGTTTCTCTGTAGCTTTGGAGCCTGTCCTGGCACTAGCTCTTGTAGACCAGGCTGGCCTCGAACTCACAGAGATCCGCCTGCCTCTGCCTCGAGTGCTGGGATTAAAGGCTTGCGCCACCACCGCCCAGCATCTGGTGGATTCTTAAAGAAAACCAGGGAGGGGCTGGAGAGATGGCTCAGAGGTTAAAAGAACTGACTGCTGTTCTGAAGGTCCTGAGTTCAATTCCCAGCAACCACAGGATGGCTCACACCATCTATAATTAGATCTGGTGCCCAGAACACTATATACATAATAAATAAATTTAAAAAAAAGGGTTTAAAAAAGAAAAGAAAAGAAAACCAGGGAGGCACTGGCCTAGCGTCTATGAAATGATAGGAATAATTTCCTTGTCTAAATTTACAACTAAAAATCTTCAGTTAGCTAGCTGGAGGCTAGTTTTATTCTGGGATCAACTCCCACATTTGTAAAAATTCAGTCTTCAGGGCGCCCACTCTGTGATCTCCAAACTGTGACAGATCGTGTAAGTCCCCACCCAGATCCTAAAAGAGGTCTCAGAGGCCAAATCCAGCCCCAATACCTGTAGGTGACGGTGGAGGAGATGGGCCGTGATTGGGGAGCAGTAGAGGGGCCGTGCCCAAGTGCTAGACAAGCCCACCGTGTGGTCGGAGTGCATGTGGGATAAGAAGAAGAGCCGCGCGGTACCAGCACGGCGCAGGCTCCAAAAGTCCACAGCAATGGGCGTTTGGGGGATCACGACCCCGTTCATGGTGGCAGGGTTGGAAAGCCACCCGCGGGGTCTTCGCAGAAACAGCACTCCCGCGTGAGGCTTCCACGATTGCGGCCGACGACATGCGGACGCAAGGACAAGGGAAAAGCAACCCAGAAGTGGACGAAGTCGAGAGTGAGCCAAAAGAAGGCGGCCAAAGTGGAAGAGCCCAACGCGGAAGAAGCTCCGGGAGCATCACTCACACCCGCGCGAGGGAACCCAGGGCCCACACTTTGACAAAGTGCGCGCGGCAGCGAGGAGACAGACCCAAGTAGCCGATCGCCGATGGTCGGTCGCGGCCCAGGCACGGCGAGCTGCGCGCCTGCGCCGAGAGGTGTGTGCGGGGCGGGGAGGGGGGGGCGCCCCCAGGTCGGTCCCGCCTGCGCTCGGCGCTCGGCGCGTCGCAGGGCGAGGGGGCGGGATTTCCGCAGGAAGCTGGCTGGGGCATTGAGTGACGGCCTCGGCGGCTGGGACTGGAGGGCAAGGATGCGATAGATCTGCCATTCGCTGGTTTGGTAGCGGAAGCCTAACCGGGCCTAGAGATAGTTGAGGACACCCGAGGGCAGAGCGAACGACCTGCGGGGCTCCGGTTGGTGCCTGAAGGGCCGTGGCCGGGCTCGCCAGAGGCCCGAGGGGTGACATTTGTGTTCCGCCCTGGGGAAGGCACTGCCAAGTGACACCTCGCCTTTAAGGTTTTCCCTGTCCACATTTCCTCTACTCAGGCTCCCACATCGGGACTAGAAGGAGTCCACGGATTCGCCACGGAGCCCCGTGACTGTTGGCGAAGATGCCATACCTTGGCTCCGAGGAGGTGGTGAAGGAACTGAAGAAGGCTCTGTGTAACCCTCATATTCAGGCTGATAGGCTGCGCTACCGGAATGTCATCCAGCGAGTTATTAGGTATCACCGACCTTAGAATTCTAATTCCCACCCCCACCTTCCCCACCCTGCCCTACTTTTAATCCTCTTCCGGCACCCACTCTGAGAAAGTAAATGAACCTGCACACACGGCAGTTGTCTCTTTTGGCCTTGAGACTGCATTTCTGGATCGTCAGTCACTTCAGTCTTCCTACCCAGCTGAGAGGTTTCCTTCACGTCACAGACTTCAGCAGCCATGCTGCTGATCCCTGGTGCCATGACTTAACCTAGTACAGTTCTCCATTTATCATTACTATTATTATTATTATTTAAGATGCAGACCTATTTATCCCTCTGCTTGCTTGGCATTTCCACCTGGATAGTTCTTCAAAGATATGGCCAAATTAATACCAGCATTCTTCTCCTCGTCAGACCTGCTATTCAGCCAGTATTTGTGTTATGAATGTCACCAGGCATCCTACTAAACATGATAGTTAACTTTGACGACACTAGTGGTTTGAAAAATTCTAAAAATCCCCTCTTTGTTATTGAGACTGTAGTGTTCGCTCAGGCTGTCATAAGCACAGAGCCTATTGTGGTAATTTATTAATAAGTGGCCTTGTCGCCTCCCTTCATTTAGGACTTTTTGGTTATATACATTTGAAAACATAATTAATCTGTAGCTATAGCTCAAAAATGTTAGTAGGGCACAAAAGTCCCTTGGGGTGCTTTTTAAAGAAGTGTGACCCGGGAACTGACTCTGATTTCATTAGGGTGAGATAGAATCCAGGGACTGTATTTTTAAGAAACTTCTCAGCTGAGCCTATGTAGTAGTATGGTTCCACTTAGAAACTGCCAGTGGAATGAAGTCCAAGTTTTGTATCATATCACCCAAGGAACAAAACAAAAGTTCAGTTCCTGTCCATGCCTTATATCATGCATTATTAGCTGTATCCCATTTGCCTAACCAACTGATCGTTTAGCCAGGGCGTTCTGTGAGAAGTGTTTTCTGACTTTCGTAGTAGCATGTGGATGCGGATCTTCTTGGTCTGTGTTCTGTGCATCAGTTCAAGTACTCACACTGGAGTTTTTAAATCAGTGATATTCTTGGCTGCCTTCTTAGTTGATCCTGAATTTCTAAACATCTGAGGCTACACCTGCCACCCGCTCTGTTTGGTTTTATCTTACTTTGAGACAGCCTTGGCTGTTCTGGGAACTCACTGTGTAGACCAGGCTGGCCTCGGACTCGCAGAGGTCCACCTGCCTCTGCCTAACACGTGCTCAGATTACAGTTGTGCGTCACCATGCCCAGCTTTCCATTTTTACTTTTATGTGTATGAGTAAGTTTCCTGCATTGTAAGTGTACAGCATGTATACCTGGTGCCTGTGTGTGTCACAAGGCTTCAGTTCCCCTGGAACTCTAATTATGTATGGTTATAAGCTACCATGTAGGTGCTGGGAACTGAACTCAGCTTTTTTGCAAGAGCAACCAAATGCCAGTTAACCATGAAGCTCCCTCTCCAGCCTATACCTTCGAAAGATGTTGTCCCCTTATCATATCTATGGAATGATAAAGTTGAATGTACCATCTCTGTGTCATTTCCTTGCAGTGGACTAAGGATTCCAGTGTCGAATTCTTAGTTGCAGGCCCATAATAGGAAGTTGTGTGTTGTAATAGACAAGGTAGACACAACTATAGCTCGCTGAGAGATCATAATTTAGTTAGACAACCAGAACATATATAAATAAAATTCCTCTTACAGATTGGGGATTGTGTGTTTTACTTCTTTCTGTTCTTTCTATGTTTTACAGGCACATGACTCAGGGCTTGGACATGTCTGATGTTTTCATGGAAATGGTGAAGGCCAGTGCCACTGTAGATATTGTTCAGAAAAAGTTGGTTTATCTGTATATGGGCACATAAGCACCTTTGAAACCAGACCTGGCACTCTTGGCTATCAATACACTATGCAAAGACTGCTCCGACCCCAACCCAATGGTGCGAGGACTGGCTCTACGGAGCATGTGCAGCCTCAGGTGAGCACTTTTACTCCTGCCTGGCCCTCAGTGGCTGATGGATTAGCAGATTTTTAATGAGGACAGCTCATTACTGTCCCTAATACTCCCTAATACTAAGGAAAGTACTGTTCTTCCTCAAACTCAGATTTTCAGCTATCACTTTGACCTTCTAAACTGTATCTCATGGTTTTATTTAAAGGTGGTTTTCTTGGTAAAATAGTTCTGAGTTTCAGTTAAAGATGCTTAATAAGGCCAGGTGTTAGCGGCGCACGCCTTTAATCTTAGTACTCGGGAGGCAGAGGCAGACAAATCTCTGTGAGCTTGAGGCCAGCCTGGTCTATAAAAGCTAGTTCCAGGATAGGCTTAAAGCTACAGAGAAACCCTGTCTCGAAAAACCAAAAGAAAAGAAAAGATGTTTAATAAGCTATTACTGTAACAGTTTGTGCTGTCTCTGAAGCAGTATTCCAAACAGAAAAATCAAATTATAGTTTTTTAAATTTGATAGATGCTTTCTCCAAATCCTTGAGATCTGACATATAGACGTTCAAATATGAATTATTAAATCACACTTAAATATGTCAAAGCTGGTATTTCAAGATCTGCCTGACTCTAGAATGCGTTTCAGGATGCCTGGTGTGCAGGAATATATCCAACAGCCTATTCTTAATGGTCTGCGGGATAAGGCTTCCTATGTCAGAAGAGTGGCAGTCCTTGGCTGTGCCAAGATGCATCATCTTCATGGAGACTCTGAAGTGGGTAAGATCATCTGCCGTGCTCAGTATTCACTTGTGCCTCTATGGTGTGTATAATTTCAGAAGAAAAAAATATGGCTTGGTAGAAGACGACAGTGTGCATGTCTCTCTAAATCAGATGTTTGTTTTTATTCCAGCTCCTCTTTTCAGTCTTTGAAAGAAATTTATCAATTTGTATGTTCTATCTGATACCCAAAATGATGTTATTTGTCGTTGCTTTTGGTTTTGTTTTTTGTTTTAGCAGAGATGTGGCTTTGTCTGCCCAGAGCCACTGTCCCTATGACTCAAATTTTTCTCTATTTGTAATCTTTGGTTTTTGTTTCAGATGGTGCTCTAGTCAATGAGTTATACAGCCTCCTGCGTGACCAGGATCCAATTGTGGTTGTGAACTGTCTGAGGTCTCTAGAGGAAATTTTAAAACAGGAAGGAGGTGTTGTCATTAATAAGCCCATTGCCCACCATCTCTTAAATAGGTTTGGATGCTCTTTTTATTATGAAATATGAATCATGGTATGATCTTGTTGATGAATTAAATTGTCTTATTATTGTGTATGATGGGGGTGGTGATGTGGGTTTAGGTATACATGTGCTCCAGCAGAAGTATGAAGGTCAGACAACTCAGAGGCGTTGATTCTCTCTCTTCTTCCGCTTTTATGTGGGTTCCAATAGAACTCAAATCATTAGGCTTACATAGCAAATGCTTTTACCCACTGAGCCATTTGCCAGCCCAGAAGTAACTTCAAGTTTACTGCAATTATTAATTTCCTCATATTTCACTGGGAGAATTTCTCATGTATTTGTCTTGATATGTAAAGACTGTAGAAACAAGCTATAGAGATAAATTCCTTCTGTAGTACCTATTATGTCCCTGAAACTAAGCCATTTATCTTAAAATTAGAAAATCTGGGCTCTTTGTAGAGATGGCTAAGTAGCTAAGAGCACTGACTGCTCTTCCAGAGGACCCAGGTTCAATTCCCACCATCCACATTTTTACTCACAACTGCCTGTGACTCCAGTTTCAGGGGATCCAGCACCCTCTTCTGACCTCCTAGAGGGTCGCATGCAGTGCACTTAAATGTAGACAAAATACTCATACACAAAAACAAATAGACCTAGGAAAAGTATAGCAAATGTGCCTGTGTTGTGGACTGTAAAGATTGTGTTTTAGAAAGTAAAAAGAATTTGATCATGGCATATCTGTTTTAAGAATTCTCTCCCCCTTTTGTTACGATGAACCTCTACTTGGTTTATGGCAGTCATATGTAGAATATTCCATTTGTTATTAAAATAGTACTTTTGTTTTCATTTTGGACAGAATGCCAAAACTGGATCAATGGGGCCAGGCTGAAGTATTGAACTTTCTGCTCCGCTACCAGCCCCGCAGCGAGGAGGAACTGTTTGATATTCTCACTTTGTTGGACAGCTATCTCAAGAGCAGCAGCACAGCTGTGGTGATGGGAGCCACCAAACTCTTTCTGACCTTGGCAGAAAACTTCCCCCATGTACAAACTGATGTGCTTGTACGAGTCAAGGGACCCCTGCTAGCTGCCTGTTCTTCAGAGAGTCGTGAGCTCTGCTTCGCTGCTCTCTGTCATGTCCGCCAAGTCTTGCATAGTTTGCCAGGTCACTTTAGCGGTCACTACAAAAAGTTCTTCTGCTCCTACTCGGAGCCCCACTACATCAAGCTTCAGAAGGTGGAGGTG